GTGTTCAGGCCAGAGGAAAGTCTGCACAGCAAAAGGGGGCAGAAAGCCGAGCAGGAGGGCGGAGTCATCGGAGGAGAGGTGAGTGTTTCTGTTAACTCCTGGCTGTCAATATATACCTATGTACAATGCTTTGATACCATCACTATATTGTCACATTCACCTATTCATCATGTTCTGCTCATTTTTGTTTTGGCCACAGCGATGGAGAAAATGTTCCAGAGTCAGTTCCTGTGGTGCGTCCCTCACGGAGGGCCAAGACTGCAGCTTTAGAGAAGACCAAGCTGGACCTCAACACCCTCATCAACCAGGAGGCCAATGTGTCGTAGAAGTCAGATTACTAACAGTTAATGCAAAGGTGGAAATTGAAATTAGTTATTTTTAACTAGCGTTCAAGTACTCCAGTCTAATATATCTTACACATACTTTGGTAATGCAGCAGTATTTACTTTTCCTTTAAAAGCCCTTGAAAATGGGTTCACCTCTTTATATGTCCTGTTTCCTCTGAACTTTTGTCTGTTTCCCATTTTAACCATTAAAGTAAAATGTTTCAATGAAACTTGTCCTCTTTGCATTAGTAGTTTCCAGTCTTTTTAACTCCTTGTATAGATATCAGTTGTGAGCAGTTCAACAAAGAATAAGCAGATTTTCTGCGGGATATTAAATCTAATAACTAAATCTGAAAGAGGCCTTAAATAATATTTCTGATAGGTCTTAATGGAGATAACTACTTTTCAGATTTTTCAGCCTCACTTTTAAATGTTGGGGAAAAACTAATGATCATGCTGTAAGAGCTACAAAATAAAACCGATTTTCCTTTGTACTATTTTTTGCTTGTATGGGTGGAGAAATAGGTCTTAAATTACATTCATAGTGCTTAAAAAAAAATCTTAAATTGAACCTGATGAAACCCAGTGTTTCATTTAAAGGACTTTTTGGATTGATAAAGTTGCCAGGCATTTCGCTAACTACTACAAACCACACTGCTCGCTGGTTATTTCAAAAGACTCTTTATTGTTCCAATCACAGATACCTCTTTGTTGCATCTGTAATGGACAGTATAAAAACACAATAAAGAAAATATACAACAGATGTTTAGCACCAGGTTCTTCAACAGAGGGCTGATAGTTATTCATCACAAGACCGAGCCACCTCACCGCCATTGTGTTGAAATGGCAACCATAGTGACACATACAAGGGTAGTCAGACACACAATACACAATACAGGTTTAAGTTTTGACCTACAGCCAGACAACTTGGATCTTTTAGAGGGCAGGAAAACATGATATTGATCCAAGATTAGTGTTTATCGATCATTTGTCTGGCCTTGTCTAGCACACGGTTGATAAGCAAAAGAGCAGTAGGCCTAGCTGAGCCGCAGGGGAGGTAGGCGTCTTGCTGCAAATTGATTAAAAACAAAGGAAACCTTAACAGCAACACAATTCCCACCTGCATTTAAACAGTAAATTATGCTAGTATGGTGAAAATATTAAATGCTATTATTACAATTAAGGATCTATAATTTTTCTGCTTCATTGAGGAGGGAAAAAAAGCAGGTGGGAAAAATACAGTTTGTATAGCAGTATCATTTAAGATCACATTACATGGCTATGGAAACAACTGAAGTAACATCCCAGGCCAACGGTACTTGCGTACATCCATTCGTCTGTCAGCAATAAAATAATTACTACATACTGATAAATCATCTGGGTTTGTATTGCACCAAATATATTCTCTAGTTTTACAGTAGGGTTTGGAAGTGGGACATGGGGTGTGCAAAATATGGGGGGAGGAATCTGTGTAGTAGGATTAATAATCTCAGATGGAATAGTGCAAGAAGTAGATCTGACACCAACGTACAGTATATGCTTTGGGTGAAAACAAGACAAATCGCAAAAAAAAAGATAACTGAATTAAAACAAGACAGATCCCACAAACCAACAAATTAATCAGAGTCTACTGTCTACAACTGCATAATGCCATATTCTTCATTTCACATATACCTCTACATTTTGTGGGATTGTTGGGGTTGAATAATAAAGTCATTTAGAACACGCATGTTTGTGCTAATTGCAGTTTGGTGCCAAGACTTGCAAATATTGATGGAAAATAATAAAAAAAGAAACTATGACATTAAATATTTGGTTTTGATAGACTGAAGGCCAATTACTGTAGTTCATTACACATTTTCTAGTTGGGGCCCATACACGTAGTGTTTTTCCACCAAATTATCTCTGGTTCCGTTCAACCTTGGTGCGATCGAGCGAACCAGCCTGCATTTCCAGCCTGTTTTGAGCAGAACCATTGTAATCAAGAGAGCATCATCAACAGCGGGCGCCGTAAAATGCACGACGGCCTGTAGAAACAAACACACCCTCTTTGGTTCCAGCTGGAAACCAACATTTCGGGTTGCGACCCAATTTATTTTTGGTCGAAATATTCGGAATGGTTCAAAAGTAGGTGCGCAGAACGGAGCCGGTTCCCTGTTGGTGGAAAAGGCCTAACAGCGATTGGGATAAAGATGGGGTTTGGTAGATTCCTTCATTCAAACCACATTTTTGGCTACTGGCTTGCAATTCAGTGACTAAAGCATCAAAGAAATATATTGCAAACAAGGCTAGGATCAAGAGTGTCAGTAAATTTCAACATATTTTTCTCAAATCTAAAATACAAAACAATTTGGAATTTGACAAAGTAACTATAAATAAAACATTTAATGATGGGGGATTTTAGAGCTGTACATGTTTATGGTGGAGATAAAGTATTAAAAGTTGTTACTAGTTTTAGGTAAAGACTTACAGAAAAAGGTCATTGTCAGAAAGAAGTGCTGGCCTTGATAATGAGGTATTTTCTGGGGGGAGATGGCAGTCTTAATGCAGTCAAGCTTTGTCTCTCCTTCCAATACAGCCACTCTGACAGGGCTCACTGTATAAGCACTTATCCCATTAAAACTCTGTTTGACGTAATGATTTGATCTACTATACAGGTTCAGAAAGACAAAGGCAAGTTGACAAAAAAAAAAAAAAACATTCTGTACATACGGTACATATCCATGGATAAAAATAGTGCAACATCAAGCTTTTGTTAAGTTAGACTGCTACATAATTGCTGAGTGTAAGACTGAACCATAGTGGGATGGTCAGTCCACGTGGTCAGCTCAATGTCCAAAGGCACCACGTTAAACCACAGTCCCTTTCCCAGGTTGGAGGAGACCTCACGCTTCCTTAGTTTTCTGTTAGAAAGGAAAGTACAAGTTGATTTTGCGGTGTTTTGAAACTGAATCTTATTAAAAGTTGATGTGTTAGGTGATATTCAATAAGAATAAGCAAGATAGTTACCAAACACAAAGTCGCACCATCTCGGTCCGGTTAGGCCCCTCATTCGCGATTGTCTCAACATTTTCGCTGGTGGTGGTGATTGTGGTGGTTCAGTAGACACAACCCCGGGACTTTTGTACTTGCCTTTCTGCCTCCCCACTGGCATCTCATCCTGCTCCTGGACTGATTTAGTTGCAGAACCTGCAAGCTCTCTTGAGGCAGTCCTCTTCATGCTCCTTTTTCTTTCAGTTTTCACAGCTTTAACAACTCCTACCAGTTTTCTCTCCCTTCCTGCAAAGAGGTATGCAGAAAGTGACCCATCATCCAGTGTCACAGTACAGGAGTCGCACTCTTCCTCAGTTGATTCATTGTCTGGGGAGTTGATCTTCCTCAGAAAAACTCGGCATTCCTTCAGCGTCTCAGGACTCCAGGCTTTAGAGCAAATGTTCTGCTCTTTGGGTACATCCACCGGCTCCTGAGTTTGGTCAACAGAACTGGTGGCACAACTGTTCTCCAAACAGTCAGATAACTGATATTTCGCTGATGCCTTACATTTTGGTTGTAGTCCAGTCAATGCATTTGAAAAACTTGTCGCTAGTTTCCTGTTTTTCTTATTCCACTGCCTCTTTCTCCACTTCTCCCTTTCCTTCCGGGTTAGGAACCTTGTACTTGCTCTAAATAGAGTGGCCTGGTATTTGCCAAATATGCTGCTTCTCCTCCACTGGTCTCCTTGATTGAGCCTGCCTGTTGCAGATCTGGGAGTGAAAAGTTGTCGCCTAATATTATGTGTTGACCTAGGTGCCCCAATCCTCTTTCTCAACCTTCTTTGAGCCCGTTGGTGTTGCAGAGGACTCTTTGGCACAGTTTTGGCAAATTTCTTTATGTGTTTTCGGAGTCGCTCTGCCTGAGGACTGTGGCAAACACTTTTTTTATTGGCTGTACGGGGGAAGTGCATGAGTTCGTAAGGGTTACGGGAGCTTGCTTTCTTGACAATAGCCAGAGACTGTGTCTCTGTGGTCTGCATAAACCAGGAGCAGAGCTGCTGCATGCTACAGGACCTTGGTTTGTTGGGAGAACAGTCAAATAGCGTTCGAACCATAGAGGAATGTTTTGACTTCCTGTTACTTTTGGTGCCTAGTTTGGAATTAAGGGCCATTTCTTTTTCTTGATTCTCCACAGTGTCTGAGACCCAGGTGTCAGAGATGAGTCGTATTCGCCTGGCAAGTTCCTGGTTCATAGACTTGCCCTCGGCTGATGCTGCCCACCACCTTAGCGTCTCTTTTGGGGTAAAGATGGAGTCTACAGACACCTCTGCCACTTTGCTCAGGTCATGAGAGATGTTCTTCCTCTCTTGTCCACATCGCTGTCTTTTCTCCCCTAAAGTTTCTACATTAATCTGTTGCTCCGCCTGTCTCCTTTCATTGCTGGCCTTGTTTAGCAGAAGTTTTTTAGAGCGCCGTAGCAGAGCCGCTGAGGTGGCAACAGCGTGAAGAAAGTGAATTGAGGGCTTTCTCACTCTCATTGAGTGACGCACTGCTACAGGCTGAAGTTTGTCTTTACTTTCATCCTTTGTTTCTATCCCTTCCTCAGTTGGACTGCTTTTGCTTGTTGATTGACAACTGATTGTCCAGGGCTCTTTGGCAGTTTTGAATTCTGGTAGAAGTTTTTTCTTACGAATTAGCGATTCAGGAGACTGCCGAGTATCCTTATTTATCTGAATTTTACGCTGTCGAGGTGATACTGTGTTTACTGTAACTGAGATACCAGATATTTTAACTTTTGCAGGTCTACCTGGTTTCCTTGAGGGTACAGAATCATCCCGCTTCTGACATTTGATGTTACTGCTAGATTGAGGGGTAGACTCTTTCAAAGGGGAGACAAAATTTAATTCTTTTGACAATTCTGTCGAAGTTGTTTTGACACTACCTGAGCTGATGTTAGAGTTGTGCATTAATGCCCCATTCATGCCCAAGTCACTTTGAAGGCCTACTGCTTGCCAAGCATCATGGAATTCTGTTTGCAGCTGTTCAAAGCCCTCAGACACCATTCGTTTATTTCTCCTTGAACGACCATACACTACTGTTATTTTGAGGTTCTTGTTTACATTCTCCTCAACGTCAGATGGTAAATCGGATTTTCCATTTACCGTTTTTGTCCCTATTACTGAATCAACAGCCTTTGGCTTGCGTGGTCGACCAATTGGCCTCTTGACTTTTTGCTCGAGCTGCGGTCCCAGCTTCTTTGGCCGACCTGGTCGCCTTTTTGGAGGAGTGGTTTCATGAAAAGATAGTGAGTCACCTGGTGATCTGTGGCACTCAGTTCCAGCTATACGTTTTGTTGGAGTACCTTCACCTGACCTTCTGGAACATGTTTTAGGTGATGAGGATGCTGACTTGGGTGAAGAGGCAGACTTTGCTGGTGAAGACTTGGGTGTTGAGGAGACAGA